TCCTGCCTCCACAGGGTGAACTGCTCCCCATTCTGCTGCTCTGCAGAAGCTAGCGTGGTCGGCTAGGATTGCTACTTACAGACAATTCTTTATTTTCTTCAGTCTGGTAGAATCTATTTTAACTTGAGGGTGATTGAAGGTTTTAGTTTGTTGGATTGTATTTCTGCACCATCAGTGATCTGTTTTGTTTTTATTTTTAAGATGTACTGGAAGAAAAAAAAATGGGTCATGGCTATACTAACTTCTTTAATGATATCTTGAGACTTTCAGAGGTGAGACTCTAAAATGTCTTATGTTTTAGTCTTGGGGAGACAGGAGTGTAAATATTAATTGAGTGAACAACTTGCTACCTTCATTATCACGTTATTGGGAGCTTTTTCTTTATAAAAAGAAGTACATATCAGTTTTTGCACTGCCACTAATCAGCTTTTTGATAACTTGTATCTTAATTTATGTTTTTACTATTTTACTTAAAACGGAAGGCCTTCTAGTCATATTTTTAACCCACTTGGTTCTCCTGAGCTCAACAGAACTGAAGCATATCATACTAAAGGAAAATTTTAACTGAACAAGCATGAGTCAGAAAGGCTAACTGATTGTTAGTATATTGCTGTTTTATTAGATATACTTTGTGCAGACTTTGTCACCAGTGGTTTGTGGCAGCATTACCATACGGTTTGGACAAAGCCCTGCAGTTTTACAAATGTAATATCAACCCATCAAAATGCTGGTTTCTCATCTCATTAGACTTAAAAAATAACTCATGCCCAGATTTATTCCCTGCATTACATTCCCCTGTAAAAGCATGAGTACACTGGAGGCAGCAGCACCAAGCAGGCGGATACTCAACATTTGGGAACATGATCATTTAGCATCTGTTTTTCATGGTACGTACCCTTCCCTGCCCTGTTATGGGTAATGTTTTTTTAATCAATGTGAATCATTCATCTATATCCTAGCAGTATCTGGAGGTATCCCACTGTGATGTGAAGGTAGCAGGTGTTTTATTTTTCTGTCTATGGTTAATTTAAATCTGATGCCAGTGAAAATCATTTATTATTGTGTGAATAATGTAAAAATACTGAAATGAAAACAAATCCGGGGTTTGAAACTGAGCCAGCCTTGACCTAGAAAAAGGAAGTACCCGTGCTTCTGAAGCATCTAGGTTTGGACAGACTTGGACAGACTAGTTGGGATGCTCTCAGCATGTATATTGGTTTGTTAATGGGAGAGAATTGAGAGGCAGAACCAATCAGGAATCCCTTTCCAGATAGATCACATTCAGTTTATACGTATGATGGGTATTTCTGCAGAAACACAGCATCGTAGCATTTTCTGTTAATTTAATGTAGGGTCTTCTAATAATTTTAGCTTTTTATTTTGCTCTCACTGACTGAAATTCAGTTTGATAACATTTGTAATGGCTGTTTTTTTTCTTTTTCTTCCTTTCCTTTTTTAAAACTTTCAGTAGGTTTCACTACATTATTGATGCCGTGTTTAAATTGTCAGTTTTTTCTTTTGTCTTCAGTTATCTTTGGGTGCTTTTACATGCAAATAGTTTGGAGGGAAGGGGTCAGAAGTCTTGGGGGGGTCAAGAGTTATAGCTCACAGAAGACTGTAACTAGTGAATTTGTACAACCAAAGAAGTCTATTTTGTGGTTCAGGAATAATACATTTTACTTTTCATTTAAGAAGCTGATTAACTATATGGTGTCTTGTCTCTGATTACTAACTAACTACAGTACACAGATGGACTATGAAAAGAGATCAGATCAGAACTCACCTGACTGGGGTGACCGGAAAAATCGGAGGAAGCCGTTTCTGCCTGGACCCCGCAGACTGGGCTGGAGAAACGGACAGCCCTCTGCTCTTCCTCTGCAGGCCAAAAGTGTTTGCTTATACCATACACCCAAATAATCTGAATACAAATGTTATGTTACAAGATGTAACAAAGAATACCCACCCGTATTAGTGTCCTGTAGCGGGCATTATAGAAGGAATCAGAGCCAGTGCTCTTAGGAAGGACCTCATATTGCTGCTGCACCCAAGATGGCTGACTTTCCCCTTCCTGAGGGGTAGAGTGTAGATACAATAAATCATTCAAGTCTTTTTATTTAACAATATTAACATTTGCCTTACATGAAATGTGGTATTGAGCTGTCCTGTCAAGGTTACTCTACTATCACATCATAAAATACTGCAGAGGCTTCATTAGAGTTCATAATATATTTAGAATTAGGTAAACTCACTTCAGAGACATTCTTGGTCATTTTAAGGTTAAACTCCTCATCAGGCAAAGGGAAAGACTGTTTGTACCAGGTCTCAAATTCTGGGGCACACATACAGAGCAGATATTATTTTGGGCATTACTGTTTTTGTTGAAACAGAAAAGCAAAAGAAAATATTCAGCACACCAACCAGTGAGCAGGCGCACTCTGCACTGATCCACGAGGTGATTACAGTAGTGGACTTCTGCCTTGATGTCTCGCAGTGCCTCATATCTCTGACGGTACCGGGCTTTCAGCTCCCCGAAGTGCACCAATAAAGATTCTTTGGGCTGCTGGGGCGTTGAGTCTCCATCTATAGACAAGCACTCGTCTGCATCTAAATAGTTGCATAGAAAATCAGTAATGTGGTTTAGCTAAATAAAACTAAATCTGCTACAAAGCACCAGATACTGTTTCTTCATTAGTCTTAACAATATATTTTAAGTTATTTAGTAATAGTTCACACGCTTATAACTCCTCATGCAATGTTTCAACAAAAATATTGAAGCAGTCAAACCTTTGCCTCCTGTCATTTCTTCTTGCTCCTGCAAAGTGGCTGCGATAGAGTCGATCTCCCTCTTGACAGAATTGACCTCTTCTGTGAGCTGCCGGAGGAGACTGCGCCGTTCCAATAAAACGGTTTTGTTCTCCTTCAGGATGAGGTTGATTTCCCTGCCTTGTCCCACTTTGAAATCCTCAAATGCTTCTGCTTTGGAAGGAGGCCTGGGCACAGATTTCAACATTAGGGGTTATGAGCCTGTAATGCGTTTTCAATTACCAGGACTACAAAGTGATTTATAGATAATATATTTACAGACGTACTCGCGTTCACTGGCAGGTAAAAGCAATTCTTGAGTGTTGGAGCTTTCAGTGTCAGGTTCTTGTGGCTCCAGTTCCCTTGCAGACGTTTGAACAGAACTGGGCTTTGATTTGGACGAACTTTCCGAAGACTTCATGGAAACAGGAGTCCCATCTCCCTGTCTCTTGTTTTGGCTGGATGATAACATACAGTGTCAGTATATCACGCTGGAACCTGTTTTTCTTAGTACTTAAAACAGGCAGATATTGGATTAAATTTTTTTTTTAATCATATGCTTTAAATATTTGATATGGCATTATTTCAAAACCTTTTGCAGCATTCATTGTTTATGAATTCACTGCAGTGGAAATCCCTTCAGTGGGGTTAGGGTAAAAATGCGGTTTCATGCTTCCTGAAAAAACTTTTTCATAACTTAAGATCAATGAATCATTCATTTTGGAATATGCTCATGATAAGGTAAGAAGAGACAAATTAATCGATCTATTGGAAACCTGGTCATTTAGTGCATTTAGCCAACCTAATTTCTTTGGACACACAACTCAGTTGACCCAAAGCAGACAAATTGTGGTAAACCAAGATGATCTACCTAATTTGCCACTTTCCTTTGTGGCAAAAATCTGAATATATCCAAAAAAGCAATTCAACAGTAAAGTTAAGGAAAAGTACAATTATTTATCATTCATGAAAAAAAAGAAAATAATATTATAGTGGAAGAATTATAGGGGAAAGTTTTATAGTTTAATAAAAAATAATAGTAATAAGGATTACATTACTAGACATCTAGTTATTTAAATTAATATCTTTCCTCCATTTGAAACATCAGCAGTGTGATTTGTTTCTTATTGGATCGCTTTCACTTCTTCCACTAAAGCTTTCTTCCAAGAAGAAGAGAGAGAAGTTCTTCTCTTAGTCTGATTTAATACAAAGTAAATAAAAAGTTGACAGCCTGTGATGATTTAATCCTTTTTGTCACTTTATTCCTGACTCTGAAATGCTCACTTACCTATGTTTGTCTCTAGAAGTTTTGGCTTTGGTTGAAACTGGATGTTGGGGGTGGGGCACTATATGGTTCTCCTCCTCCACATCCTCAGAGCTGCCTCCGGTATCCAAATTCTGAAGGAGAAAGTCAGATTCAAAAAGAGCTCGGATTCATCCATTTCTCATAAAACAAACATTTTAATGTACAACAGAAAGAAGATAAGTGGTATCTCAGTTTACATATGTAGACTGCTGACCTTGATTGAAGCTGCATTTGAGCCTTGGAACATCTTGTTGCAGGTTTTTCCTGCCTGAGCTTTTAGCTTTTGCTCCTTTTCACTGCTCAAATACATACATACATACAAAAAAAAAACTTTCCTTTGAAAATTCTTCAATTTTAAAGCATGTTAAAGCAGCGGAGTTTAAAAACAGGATACTCACTGCACAGCCAGCTTGAACTGAGCAAACACTGCTTGAATTTGCCTTTTACTTACAATCTGTAAGAAGATGTAATGAAGGGATCATTTCAAAGCCTCAAAGGCTTTCAAACTCAGAGGATGATGTGTATATGTGTTCTCACACTGATCTCCTCCAAGCGTCCATCAAGGTAGCTTTGAACTTGGTTCTGAATCTCAGCTTGCTGGGCCTCAGAGATTGGCTCATATGTGACAGTTGGACGGTTTACCTGGTGAAAAGTGAGCATTAAATTCCACTGAAATCTGCAGATATTTAAAACATTATCAGAGAGTAGAATCAGCAGTTATGAACCTTGAGTTTTTTTTTTTTTTTACTTTAATGTAAAGGAAAGGAAGTTTTAACAGAATAAAGCTGGTAAACAAGGAAGGTACTATCGATTTAGTGTTGTCTCACCAGTGTATTGTAGATAGATAATTCATCTTTCAGCAGCTTTACTTCTCTCTGAAGAGTCTTGATCTGAACCTGCTCCAAACATAATCAGACGTTTAACAGACAATGGCACAATGCACACAATGCAGACTCTTAATGGAATAAAAATGTATATAATTTAAGATCAGTTTGGTTTAAAGTAAACCACTGTTTTTTTCTTTAAAAAAACAAACATATTTAATATGACAACTTACTGCTGGATCTGTGTGCTCATTAACAGCCGGGTTGGTCTGCACACACTTCATTCTGCTGGCAAAACGTAAAGTAGACATCTGCAAGAAAAGTCAGGACCTTAAAAGACATCATATAGACAATAAACAGACAACTTTTTATTTTTTATTTCAATAAATCGTCACCTTACCGTCTCGTCTATCTGTGCAGCCTCGCCATAGATGTTGGCCACCAGCACAGTCCTGCAGTTTCCTCCTTCAGAAAAAAACACTGTCATTTATTAGTCTTATTTCTCAAAAAAGGCCTACTGAACTGATAAACAAATATTAGATGTTCAAGACCAAGGGCTTGGTGGTTTTACCGAGCGAATCTTTGAGAGCATGTGTTAGTTTAGTCTGCCTGAAGGGTATGTGGTCTCTGCCATGGTCTGCTAGTGCTAGAATGGCCTGCTCCAGAAACAACAAAGACTTGTTGATGTACATGGCTTCCTTCATCATTTGACCCTCTGACTGAGAAGAACGAGATGAAAAGGAAAATTATTATTTTTTCCATTTTAAAAGAAAGACCAAGAAAATATATATGGTTGGTAGGTACTATCAAACACACCCCAGTTTTTCTCAGCCTCTCAGAACCAGCCAAATCCACCAGATTCAGCTTGGAAGTGACGTACTTGGGATCAGACAACGTCCGCGAGCGTGACTGGTTGAGAAAGCATCTTTTTATATAGCTATAACGGGTGCAGTCAAGTCAAGTGTACAGCAAACATGGGAGAAATTTAGTTTGATACCTCCATATGAATAGTTAGTATACAGTGTGACCTGGAAGACATCCTGTTCAAGGCATGAGATCCAATAATCCGATTCATCTCACCCTGAGTAAAGAAAAGAAAGTGCCTGAAGTTTGAGTTTATTCATTAAATCAGTTTCAAACAGTAAATTAATCAGACATCTTAAGAATGACTAAACAGTGTTTGTGATGAATACTAAACAAGCTGAACAGATTTTTACAGCTCACTTCAAACAGCAGGTTGAGGGCCTCCTCCTCGGTGTGAACAGGGTGAAGAGAAAGACCTCTAATAAAGACCCCTCCACCCGGCTGTTCAATCACCGCCATGCCCCGAGACGAGCGTTTTGGACCCTGTAACGATGACAGTAGATCCACCAGACTCTCGTTGTATATCTCGACGTAGGATAGGTGCACTAAGAAGGCGCGCTCAGACTTCTTGTCCACCTCCCTAAACACCTGTATGGCACGGTAAACATAACATAACAATGATGAATGTTCAGAAGTTTCTATGCCACTGTTTTTTTTTTAATAAGTATTTTCACGCAGTCAGACCTCCTGGATGGCTCGAGGGATGATGCCTCTCTGCTTGTAGGACTCTGTAGATCCTGTCATGGTGTAGGTTTTTCCAGCACCTGTCTGCCCGAAACACATCACTGTACCTAGTATGCATAAAAAACTTTACAAAGACTGTTCTATCTTTGTTCAATAAAAGTTTACTTGGCCAGCTGTTTTACCATTATAGCCATTAAGCGCTCCCAGGACCACCTGTTTGCACACCCGATTGTACAGCTCCTCTTGGGAGACATTATGCAGGACCCCTTCAAGGTGGAATGACCGGGAGTTCAGATGACTTTTTTGGGATTCCAGGAGTTTCCTTGAGTCTTTTCTTTGATGAATATTTATTGTCTGAAGTGGAAATAGAGCAAATATGGGAATACATTACCAAAACCAATAAAAAAAATTATATGAAATAAAGTCTGGATAAAGTCCTTTGAAAAGGACTAATATGACTTTTATTAGGTTTGGACATAATACATTTTCTCAAGTATTTCCATTCATTCCATTTATATATGTTTTTGAAGTAAACATTTAATGCTTCAAGTGTTACTAGATGAGAGTGGAGCCACTGACTAAAAAGCAAACAGCAAGTTGAATAATATTCTTGATGGATTAAAACGAATTATTTAGGGCCTGACATGTATAAAAAATATACTCATAGTGGAACGAAATAATTCATAATGTCAATTTACAGACAAACCTTCATTCCAGAGAAACCAAAATGGCGCACAGGCGCCCAAGCTGCTAATTAAAGTAATTAGCACATGTGCAGTGTGTGCTTTGAGATACTAAATGTATGCCACTATAACGACCAAGTGAAATTAATCCTTTTTTTCAGCATCTATAATTACCTTTAATAAGCAGAAAGTCGGCTAATTTTATGGTGTAAAACCATTCAAATGTTCAACATGGGTTGAAACTATGGAAAGTGGAAAACTTCCCTTTTCTTGAACTTGACAACGTTTCACTTTTAAGATTTTTTTTTTTCGTCTGTCTCTCTTCCCTCTCTTCTCAGCGTAATTCATGCTGATATTTGCTTACCTGTCCATCAGGTAGAACTTCTATCAGGTCTTGGGCGAAGTTGGCGGTTGGTCTGATCCGGACGAAGACTCCGACCGCCCTGTTGTAACCCTTCATGCCACCTGATATCCAAAACGCTAACAAATTAATTCAGCTGCCCGGAGGTCACAACAGTACACTCCAAGAACGATAAACATAGAAAAAGCAGTTCTTGTTTTTGTTTTTTTTAACGAAAACTAATCATATCAATAAACTGCTGAGGTTCCGGCTTCGGCCTTAGCGGTCTCTACCGGCACCATGGCAACAAACGCAACCACGCGACGTTAATGCACGTGAACGCGATACCTACAAACTGTGCACCAAGCAAAGCAAAAAACAAACAAACAAAAACGTTAAGTCTTACCAAAACCAAATGCATGAATATATCCTACAAGTTTTTACTAAACTGAATCACATTAGCACAGTGATCCTGGGCTGAAATGCGTTGACGTGTTGATTTAGTGTTTTAATAAATCATTGCTGCAGTTTGTTTGATGTCGTTACTGCGCGACTGTAAACTGATATTATAAAACAGACAGGAACACATTATTCAGACTCACTTTGGCATTGCTCTGTTTATTTGGATAAACTCTGATGGGACCCATAGATTTAAATGGAACAGATGCAGAAAATCTTTTTTTTTTACTCTGCATATACACTATGGTAAATATATATATGTATATTCCAAATTGGACAAAATTATTTTCAGATTTCACATTGTTCACATTTTAGGTTCACCTTAAAATTCTTATTTGCTAATATAAAAGTTAAGTAAGCAGTGATAGGGGCTGTTGGCTGTTGAGGACAACAAAAAAAGAAAAGTAAACACAATAAACTCCATATATATAGGATTTCAATGATTGTGACTTGATTATTTTTGTTATCTGTTATTATCTGTGTGCAGTTTTATTAAACTATTTATATGTATCCTTTTACTATGATCAGGGAAATACATTAATTTGAAAGGTTAAACAAACTACTAAACCTTAACAGTTCTACTTAACTATTTTGTGGAGTTTACTGTTTACACCAGAAGTGGACATCCAGTTTAAAGTGTGCATGTGCAAAATTATTTCACAACATTTTTCTGGTTATGCAGGGAAATATATTTTTTACAGCGCATAACATTTTCAAAACAAAAAGTTAAAAATTTTGAAAAATATTCTTTGTGGGCGGTCTTTTTCTTTTTTTTGCTGTGCATAACACCAATAAGGGAGTAGGCGGGTTGGACTTTAATATTGAGCAGGATCCATGAGGCACAAAAACCAAACTCTATAACCTGAAATTGCTTAAGCAGATTTGTGGGCCCACAGGAATACAGTGGGGATTCAAGATGAGAGGACTGGCATTACTCTGTTTATTTGGATATGCTCTGGTGGAAGCTATAGATTTACGTGATGTAAAGAGAATAAATATATATTTTTTTATTCCTGTACAGTGATACAATAGTTGTTTATGTTAACATTTGTAATGACTGAAATCCTTTTATCAAAATCTGTCATTTTAAAATGATTCTTGGATTAAATTTTCAGGTGCGTGATGGAGTCACATCGGGGCTAGAGGGAAGAAACATGACACTAAACGCCCAGATGGTGAGTTAACTGTGTGAACAACTGCTTCACCTCCCTAATTTTGCAAAGTCGTGATATAATTAGAATTTGACTTTAAGTAAGGTTTGCAGTAAGGTTTCCCTGTATTTTAATACAGCCAGATTTCCAACCATGCTGCTCCTATTCAAATCTTTTTTTGCCACTTTTGCAAAATGACTGCTGTTCAAAGATTGACACTTTTAAACTATTTTTAGTTTACTGAATTCAAATAGGATGAAAGGAATGAACAAACGTGAACAAACTGAAACAAGACAATTAGTCTATCTATAGATTTTTTTTCTTATTATTTTGCTTTTACAAAGTCAGTGTCCCAGTAGGGAAAAAAAAAACTAAAAACTTCCACAAAAACTTGATGAGGATAAAGTTTGTGTATATTTTCTGCTTTAGGATCCACCACCAAACAAGAATGATACCAGTGAACAAGTAAAGGTAGGAAGAGTTTATCTTTGTAACTGAAGCATTTACATAATTATGATACAGGTTTTTAAAGAGTTATGAGTTGAGTGGAAAGATCCTTTTTTTAGTTTTCTGCTATGGTTAAATGTTTCCAATTTTCCATTTGACCTCTCAGTGGAATGGTACGTGGGTCTCTATTGAAAGCTCTGCTGGGTTCCCTCCAGCTAAAAAAGAAGATAAATGGGTAAGAAGTTTATATAATTTACTGATGACATGTCTGTAAGCCCCAATTGTCTCTTGTGAAAGTTGGTTTGTGTATTTTTTTTGTAGAAAGTTGGTTGTTCAGGAAGGATCTGGAGCAAATTGAGTTTTGCTGATTTGCAGTAAAAAGAATCGAGGTTATATTTATTCTAGTTAATGGGAAGTGAAAAGTCAACACAATAAAGCTTGAAAAGGAGAAGTCGATCAGGAAAAAGTCAGCAGACTTTGTCTTGATAAGATATTGAACATTGGCAAACAAAGATGGACTTTGACGTCAAACTAGAGCTTCAGTTCATCCTAATATCCAGAGAAAAAGTTTGATAGAGTGCAGCATCATTTACACGCATGATGGAAAGGCTTTCCATTTTCTTTATGACTTATGTGGATGTTCCAAGATTAACTGAAAAGGAAACTGTTTTAATATGATTACATAAACATAAATAGCAGAGCCAGTCTGGCCTAAATGTGGAAATGAGTTTGAATTGAATTTTAAAATGCTTTTTGGTGCATTCTCTGTAACTGATTATGTTTGAAATTCAAAATGAATGACTCCCTAACATGGAGGAGAACGTCTGTTAACGCTGATGTTTTTATCCAAAAAGTTGACAGTTAACTGTATATGCTCGAATTAAACTGTTGTTTACTGCAGTCTCAGCTCTTTGGAGTTCGCATAGCCCCACCGGAATCCAAGCCAAAGAAAGAACCAGCAAAGGTGAGTAGACAGACAGATTTAAAGAGCATGTTGTCCTCTGACATGACAAAGAGATGTGTATCTTGAAGTAAATAAAAAAATATATATATATATATTATATATATATATTATTATTTAAAATGATTAAAGAATAATTAATAAATGTATTATTAATAACAAACACAAGTCAGATCTAAGTACATATTAGATATTCACAAGTAAACACAGACGAGTATCAGAGGTCGTTTACAGTTTACTGTGCAGCACAAATGATCCGGTTCACAGAAATCCCAGCTGGCGAGGCTAGCTAGAAGCATTAGTAATCCATTGATAACAGAGACAGAATTCCTCTCCCAAAGTCGTCCTCTCATTCATCATTTAACTTGTGTCCTGTTCAGAAATGTGGTCTTCCTTTTGATACTGTTGTGTCTGTTCAGTAACTTTTGCCCGCCTTGTGTAAAGCGGGGGGACAAAACTAGGAATGAAGGCTGTGCTTCATCTCCACCGTCTGTAACGGCGTCCCCCTGTGGCCGGAACAGCTGAGGGCAATCCGATGGATATTTAGCAAACTTAGACAGTCTGCTCATTTCACAGAAATGAGGCCTGGTTCACGACTTCTGGGTCCAGACCACAACAGCCGTTTTCATAACTGAGTTATAGATGCCTTATTAGCACAAAAAGGTCCAATATCTGCATATCCTAAGTGCAGGACTATGCTGGAGAAGAGCTACCAGTCTTTCTGGAAACAATTGAACTTTGTGGGACTGCAAATAATCGTGGAAGATGTTTTGTATCTATGCAGTTGTGCGAATATGTAGGAATATTCCTGAACATTTCATTTAGATGTTGTAGTGGCGTGAAAAGGCGCGTAAGCCGATATCTATTTTATTTCAAATTCAGGAGGTGCGTGTGATGGGTCACTGGAGCCCACTGGATAATGGCTTTGGTTTCCCAACTCCATCACCAGAAGAAAAAGCGAAAAAGGTGAGAAGAACGACTGCTGCTGGCATTTCGACGTCCGATTTATCATTACAGATAGCGTTGAAAAATGTATTTTCTGTAGATGAACACAGCAAGCAAAGCATTTTATTCGGATTTGCCTTTTTCCTCAGGAAAAGTAACTCAGATGTACATGGTGGGTTACGTCAAGAATCCTTGATGCAACCATTTGGAGAAATGACCGCTCTGCAGGTGCAACTGTCATCTTCGAATAAACAATAAAAGCCTATCTCGTGAGAAAAGTTCAATTTATTTGTTAATATGCTTGGTATAAGATCATGAGTTTTTGTTCTTTTTTCCCAAGAGAGCTGGAACTTTCAGATCATTTATCTATCATGGCAGAAATCACTCGTTCCATTATGACAAAAATGAGAGAACACAGGAGTTAAGCATGTTGTGGGAAAGGGAGAGGAGCACAAGCCAAAAGGTTAACAGATGGATAATTGCTTTTCAAGAAAACAGAAGCCCGTTCTCATCTCGACTCAATTCACAATTTTCCTCATTTCTTTTCATCACAAATGGCATCCGTTTCATGCCAGCAGGGATCAGTGCTCCATGACATACAGTCAAAGCAGAAGTCCAGCTCTTCCTCGCAAAATGTAACTTTTGGTAAAAACTCTTGATTTTAACAGGGCACCGACACTGTTGGGTCAAGCGTACTCAGTTTGGTGGCAGCGTGTGAACAACGGCGTCATTGCTGGAACTCTTGAGAATTGACATCCTGATAAAAAGAAATATTAAAAACTAGGGGGGTTGACAGGACCACTTTACTAGAAACTATGAAAAGTGTTGAAGCAATGTGGGCAAACAACCTCCACAAATACGCCTTTCAAAGTGGTCCTGTTCCCCGCCGGGCCGTATTTGTGACTAGCCGTCCTAGGTTACTGAGAGATTGGTGTTAGATTAGAAACAAGCTTTAGTAACTCGCTTTCTGAAGCTTGAAAAGAAGACAATGGGAAAATTAAACAGTGGATATGAAAGATATCAATGGTTGTAATCTTCCAGCGAACTACAACAGCACTACATTCTCGAACACAAGTTTTTCTCTTTTTTGTACGATTTCATTTCAGAAAGTGGAGAGATTCAGAATGCCTGTGAGACAACACTTCAGATGACTGTCCATCGGTAAGGCCACTTTGTATAGAAATTCTAAATGAGGACCACAACCTGTCGCTTCTTGTCCATAGATCTTTACGGAGAGTCATCAACACATGAAGGATAAACAAAGCTTTAACTTTCTACAGGAAAGGGCCTGATGGCTGGTTTGTCTATGGGAGGGTTGTTGTCGTTTGCCCCTTTCATCACCACAGTGAAAAAGAAAAAGCTCAGTCCACATGGTCACCACCAGCGTTTCTGCTGAGGTAGTACTCCCACTCCAGAAGCCCCAACCGCAACTAAAAAAAGAAAACAAAAACACCTCCAAATAACACGTGCGATTGGTTTATAACGATCTTGCAAAAAAATAGATATTTTCACAGAAGTTTGTAAAATCATCTCGCCTAAAGTCATCTTGGATCCTCTGTGGCTTTGTCAAAGCAAGTTGAAGTCCAGAGAGAAGTTGCGCCACACAACTGGTGCTCTGAGTACAATCCACAAAGGACAACTATGTTGCCTTCTGTTGCTGCTGCAGTGTCGTACGTTTGGGTGTATTTAGCTAATTCCGTTTTCAGTTATTCCCCTTTTTTCGTCAGCCCCTTCAGCTGCAGTCCTTCAGTTCTGCCGACCGTGTGTGTAGGTGTGTGGTTGGGAGGGAGTGTCACTGCTGGGGTGTTGTGTATGACTGCGTTTGTGTGAGTGACCCATGTGGTGACGGTGGCAGGAGCTCTGGCAGGGCTGCAGTCCACACGGCTGGACTTCAGCTTCCTGTAAGGGGCTGAGTGGACCGTGCTGGAGGGGCCAGGGGACGGAGGGGCAGCGGCTCTACTTGTCCCCCAGGATGGCGTACTGGTTGTCGAGCTGCAACTGCTGCATGGAGGCGCCGCCGCTCTCCTCTCTGCCGCGATTCCTGTGTTTCACCACCTCAAACGTCTTCTCCATTTCTCTGTCTCTGAACACAAACACGGAGCACATGAGCCACGCTCGAGCAAACCTCCGAACGACACTCCGACTTAAACTGGGCTTACTTGCGCGTCTCCACGTGCTTGGAGGAGGATAAAGAGGGGAACTGCGCGTCACTGTAGATCTCAGGAGGACCCTGGTTGTGGGTGCGCTTGGTGGTGGTGAGTCGGGCCCCTGGGGGGCGGTACACACCGGCCGGCTTTGCCTCGGGCACCTCTTCTTCCTCTGTGGCGAGAGATAAGACAAGAGAAATAATGACTGATTGCAGGCCATAAAGTCACACCCACAATCGTTTAAAACCTCCGCAATATTTCTTCCTTGGAAAAAATTTCAAGAGGCACTTTTATCCAAATTATAATAAATGTCCTTTTTCTAAACAACTGAGTCAGGAGGTCACTCACCCTCGGGTGCAGCAGCAGGAGGAGGAGGAGCACCAGACTTGTTCCAGGGTCCAGACACCTTATCACCACTAACCAGAATGATCTCTCCATCCTCTCCTACCTCCTCTTTATCATAGTCTTCCTCCTCCTTTTCATCACTGAAAACAAGCACAGGTTGAGCAGACGGATAAATCCTAGTGGGACTGTTGCCTGTAAAGCACTTTATCAACAGTATCATCAGTCGCCTGTCCGGTGAGAGCCAGTCACCCTCCACAGTCTAAGACTGCAGCTGCTGGTGGAATCGGCTATTTGAGTGGACAGATTTTACGGCGTCCTTGTCCTGCTCTGGAGCCCCCGTGAACTTGGCGTCCGGCCACGTGAACCAGAGCTCAGTTTGAGGGTAACAGTTGCTGCGGCCCTCCGGCTCGCAGACCATCTCAAATAGAAATGTTTTCAGTATATATTAGCTTATGAGATGAACTCAAAATTTTAATCAGAAGATTCTCAAAAGTCTTGAACATTCTCAATTTCTAATGCATCTACACATTTATGGACTCGTACATATATTTAGATATTGTCATTAAGTTCATCCTTACCCACTGATCGAATTTCCTCCATTTGTAAAACGATTTCTTGTGATCTAGCACTAATGTCTTATGACACTCGGATGATCATTTGTTCCTCTTTTAGCTCACATTATTATTTTAGAGCTTTTATGGATATTTTTTATCCTCATTTGCCCATCTTCTCTTTACCATAACTCTTTCTTTGTCCTTTTTATAAAACGGTGAGCTGCCTTTCCACCTTGTTACACTCCTACTGAAAATGTACTTTTAAAACAATAAAAACAAATCTGACAATGTAATAACAGAAGCTAGTCTATTTCCCTTATTTACTTATTTTCATCAACCAACGGCCCACTAAGCCTGGACTTGACAACATTGGTACATCAGGTTTTTCTTCTTACATGCATCAGAACAAGATTTTTAACATTGCCATTTAGAATTTCAGTCAAATAAGACATTTAGAGTTAATGTCCATCATTGGAGCTCTTATGGGATGTGCTTATAATCAAATGAATGTACATATCTTTACAGACAATAGAAATACTTGGAACATATTTCCCTGCTGTCAGTGAATGAAAGGCCATGTTGTGCCTCTTTATTCATTATGACTCATAATGTAAACTTTAAAATGTCCTTTAACCGAATAAAAGTCAAACCATGTGTATTACCACATACAGTGTAAGTTAAACAAAACTGCATTTTAAACTGAAAATCCTGCAGCAAAGTATTTGATTTATTTGATTTTTCTTTACATAGATACCATCTTAAATGCAGTCTGATTCTGAGCTGGAAATGTCAAAGGCTAATTTGTTCTTACCTCATCTGTAAAGCCTGGAGCCGAAGCCCAGTGTAGTCCACTTCTTTCTGCTCAAACTCTTTCCACTCCTCATCGTCCTGGGCAGAATGAGACATTACTCCACGGACGTTACAGTCACAATACTTAAGATCCACACAGTAATAAGGATTTGGTGAGCAGGCACGGTGGAAATTCATTTCACTAAAAAATAACCAAAATGGGTAACAAGTTGCCTTTTTTCCCAACAGATAACTCTGCATCGCAGCTAAGCAGTAGTCCCATATGTGATAATAGAAGCCGTGTGCCAATGATTTCTTTTTAAAGCTAAAAACTAGCAACCTTGTACAAATGGCGACAGGGCCTTGTTGAGCAGCCACGACGCAAGGAGTGGATTGACAGTCAAACTCTGATAAATGTGTGAATTACTCAAAAAATAAAATAAATAAAGGGCTGGTAAAGGTATTCGCAGATAAAGCTTGTAAGTAAAGTTTGGAAGAAAAGCTGAATACCCCTGTCATGTCAAATTCTGCTCCCCGTTACAATGCGTGGAGGTGGTCACCATATGCTTGCTAGCAACCGGCATTTTCTCTCGTCGGGTGGAGATACCCACCCATGACGTTTACTCAAAAATTGGCCCCACTCGAGAAACTGCAGGCCAGCACACGAGTTAAACCTCCAGAGGCACCGATTGAAATGTGGACACAAAACCTGACAGGACGTCGGTCTCTCGTAAAGACGTTATTAAACCAAAAAGTTGCCGGAGAGCAGCTTAGCTTACCTTTTCAATTTGAGCGTCTTGATTCTCGTTTTTCGTGGATTTCTCCTTTTCTTTCTTGGTCTTTTTAAGTGGGGCAGAAGTGGGCCCGGCGGCGGACTCCTTCCCCTTTACCTTCTCTTTCTTCTTCTTTTTATCCCGCTTGGCAAAGAAATCGTCCAAGCTCTTCTCTGCTGGTAAATCCGCCATTTTCAAAGAGCAACGTTAACCAGCCTTAGTTAGCTAACCGAGCAATGACAAATGAGAAAAGCCGCTCCCAGAGGATGAGGAGAGCAGCTGAGACAAACAAAAGAGCAAATGTTGCTCTTGATTTTGATAGTTTAACTTCTGAGAGAGGATGACACAAATGTCCGCCCTGGCACCCGGTCTGAATTGTTAACTATCCTGTCAACCATGCCATGCACAGGATATTTGACAAACCTGCACCGTGTCCCGGAAACACTTCCTCTGTTACCCGGAAATGTTCGAAAAGAAATAAAATAGATGGTTTTGATTTAATTGTATTTTCATTTAAACTTAGCATTTATTAAATGTAAGCACATCTTTAGTCTGTCATCTGTCGTAATGTAAACTCCCAGTTGTCATGTAAATACAGTTACCGAATTTAAACAATTTCAAGATTGAACAATTGAACAAAAACATCCAACTGGTTTAACGTGATTTTGTCAGAGAAGAAAAAAACACAAATAAAAATGTAAATCTTGAAATAATAACATGTGAGGTAATGCTTTAAAAAAGTCAAATTTATAAATCCAATGACCTGTAAAAAGAATTTGACGCCTTATCCTCTACATTTAGTTAAATTGTTATTTTTCAGACCGTTTAATAGTATTTTATAATATAATTCAGAGACTACGCTAAAACACAATTTATTGAAAGTTGATCTATGTTTACTGCTCATTACAAATATGTTTTATGCTTTTATAATGGTTGAATTTTAGAGTAATTCGGGATTGGCAGTTTATTTCCCCTGTTTAAATTTCTTTTTTAAATTAGTTTGAGAATGAAATATACTTGAAATCCTTATTTGGTTGTCGGCATTTATAATTGTTGATTTTCACCACAAAAGTAATGTAGTAAAATATCTTAACAAATCAATACTAATAAATGCTCTTTATTATCATTCCTGATAGTTGCATCACTACTAACAATGATTCAAAGATATTTTCATTATGTTTTGTGTGTTTCAGTTTCAATATGTAAAGTATTCACAAAGATAAATTATTTCTAAAACATTATAGTGAGGATAAGAAAAAATGAATAATTTTGAAAGGGCACAAAAAAGTTTGTCATGCTTCACCAGATTTAGACAGGTCCACAAATTCATGCAAAGATTCATGCTAAATATAACATCCCTTCAGCAGTATAGCAGGATTGTAAACTAACCTTTGATTGTAACTAATTGTACAGACATCAGGTATCCTGAGCGGGGTGTTACTCAACCAGATCCAGCACTGGTGCACAAAGAGAAAATTCTAGCTCATGGCAGCAATGGATGTGCTGTGGTCGGCAAGATTGTCCGTGCTGCTTTGTTATGTAGTAAACCAAGAGGTATGACATCTAAATGTTTTGGACATCATCTTAAAACGAATCACTTATGCATAACCACTGTAAAATAAGTGCTTATCATACATTGTTTTTGTAAGAAAAAGAAAATCCAACAAGAAGATTCCTTTTTTTGTTTAGTTTTATTGCTCAGCTGTAAAAAGTACAGTGTATATACTACAGTACAAAAAAATACATCATGTTGAACACTGCTTCACCGTGCCACTGAACATTTTGTAAAATATCCACGGTTTGAGCGTGCAAAAAAACAAGCCCAGCTGTGAGCATCCAGTGCAGGAGGCATGATTTTGTTTTGTGTTATTCAGCATCACCTTTTGACTCAGGGATTTTAGGACTTTTCACAAAACAGGAAACCTTTAGCGACAAAAGAGGCAGGCAGCATTACGGTAATTACAGAATAAAACTGCAGCGGTGCAAAGTGAAACAGATGACAGAAGGAGCACAGGTGCAACAACGAAACAGAACATTCAGATGTGCTTCTTTAAATGAAACCACCTCTGTATGTGCTCACAGTAAGTATTCAGCACAGGTTATTTGTTTCAGTGTTTTATTGGTCAACATGGACTAACACGTAGCATGTACTCCAGCGACTAGTTCACAATCATTCAACATACACATTTAGAAAACAGAGACTTTAGTTATGGAGCCAGACACTTAAATATGAAATTGTTTCCCGCAGTGGTGAAAAAATCACACGGGGACACAAACAGCTGTCACTCCATGACACAGTGACAGACACACATTAAGAGGCACACACGAGAACACACACACAAGGACAAACTGATCGAACTGAGCTGAAAGTGATACAAATATTCTGACTTGATGCAACCTTGATATTTGGTTAAGGGGGCAGCACACCTCAGCTCGTCTGGTCATGCACAAACAGGGCACTCACTGTCTCACACACAATCACACATCCATTTTTATATAAAGGACCAACAAAAGAAATTAAGACATCTTTGTGGTCCCTCTTCAGAGAAGCTGGTGACACATTAGGGGGGAAAATCATTTTAATACAGCATCATTTCAATCAAAACCTCCAAAATATTCAGCTCAAAATGATCCTTAAAATCTGGACCTGTATTTATCTAACTTTCAAACTCATTTTGCATATAGTTTATAGAATTTATTAAACCTTTTCCGGCTGTATATTATTCAGAGTAAACGCAATTATTTCAAATGAACACACCTTACTTTTATTGGTTATTGTTTTTATAAGCAGCAGATTATTTTCTCCTATTTTATTCGGTTTTCTGTGTTTTAATCCTGTTATCCATTTAAATTGATAATTGATTCAGTTCTTTATTCCCTGATTATCATGTAAAGCATCTGGGCGTATCCAAGACATCTTTCTACTATGGAATTTTGCTTGAAGAAATTGTTAATAAAAAAATAATTAAAAGATTCAGAATTTACTAAGGAAACTAAATGAATGGCTCATGTAAAAACTAAACAGTAAAATTAGCTTTGATTGGCTTTTTCTACTCACAGTTCAGTTGCTCTTCAGCCCTGAAATATTAGTTTTTATGTTTACTTTACAACTTTTACCACTAAAACCTCTACGTATCTTCAACAAGTTTGATAAAAACAGGGCCTGATTTTAAAAATGTTTTTTGTTATGCACACACATCTCTATTCCCCCCCCACCACCAATAAAATACTCAGGTGCTAAATTCAAGTTCAACAGGTGAAAAATATTTTGGGATTGATTTCAAAAGAAAAAAAGAACTTTAAGGGTCTCATATCACACTTTCCTCTTTCTAAAGCAGATATCAAGTGGCAACAGCCACAGTTAACCTACCATCAAGCCACGGTGATGCAACAAACCACATATACTCTGTATTATATAAAGACAATAGAAACCTTTATCACAATTAGGCCTTTCGTAGAAAATCTACATCAGAAAAATATGCAAGTACTTCCTCATAGTAAATAGTGTCTTGTTTACATCGCTCTTCTCGCTGGCTGCTCTTTATTTTTGTCATATACAGTATAAAGTCAAAGTCTCTGAATATTTACCACATATACAAAATGGACAGCAGTAGCAGGGGGAGAAGACGAAGGCCTGTCTCTATATGGCAGAAGCTTTGTCTCTGTTGATGAAGAGGGTCTCCTGGCAGAACGGGTTGACCAGGACCACGCTGCTGCCGCTGTAGTCTCCGTTAGGGGGGAGACAGGTCTCATGCTCCTGCAATAACGCACAAACACACACAGAAAAGGGAACGCATGAGCACAAACGCAGCTAAACAGCAGCTGAATTACGTTTCAGGGCTCATCACTGGGACGGGCGGTCTATTTTATCTAATCTACAAGCACTGAGCAAACAGTTTAGAGTTGGAGAAGACAAGCAAGGGTTTGCTGCCCCCCGGGGCTTTAAATTAGATGGCGAACAAAGATATCCAACCAAGCTAGATGAACAGAGACAAAGGGAGGAGGGGGGGAAAGGTGGAGAAGCTTTTCAGGAAACAAAAGGCAGGGATGACTCATAAGAAAGCAGCAGCAGTGGGACAGCAGGTGAGGGAGGGGGCGATTGTGAGTCAGCAGTAATGAAGTGGAGCTGGAGGAGGGAGGTGTGAAACACAAAATGATTTGTTTTACAGCAGTGAGTGAGGCTGCGTTATCGTCCAATGAAATCACACCAACGCCCTCATTTCGGTTTATGACCGAATCCCCTGGAGAGCACTGGCATTTACCTACAGCACGGGGAGAGCTACGGTAGGAGGTTTCTGCTCTATAGAGATGGGCAAATCAAGGGGGAAACACCTGGGTGTCACCAAGGGCATCCTACACATGATGCAAGATCAGCTTCTCTTTCCTGACTCCCGAACGATGGCAAAGGAATGCAAAGTGAACAACAGAAGAGAAACAAAAACAAGAATAAACAAATGAGGTAATAATTGGAGAGAAGATGATGAACAGAAAATACAATCAGAACAAGGTTTGACAAATGGGGGAATATATCCATTTATTACTTGCTGAAATCCAAATGAATAGAGATCCATCTGTGTCCAACAGATGGCACTATACTACCCCAAAAGCTACAATGTGTCTCAGGGTGAGGAAAATCTCTAATCAGTGATGGATTTTTTTCTCATCCCCAAGAAAGAAAGAAAATATGACAGGCTGAAGCACAGTCATTACACAACAAGGAAAGAATGAGTGAATAATAAGCGACACGTGAGGCCGGGAAGGAATCGTGCAAGCAGCACAACAATGGACAAAAACAGAAAAGCAGACACAGATTAGACATGCTGAGTTAAATTTTAAAACCTAATGCCTTCTAGAAATAACAGATTTTCGTGGAGCAATCAATCCATGAAAGCCAAGAAAGATTTCTCTGCATCTGGGTAAAATATAATATAATGGCTTCAATATTCTAATATATATATAGTTTATTCTATTTTTTTATTGATTATTACTCTAAATAGGCATGAAAATGTATGCATCATCATATTAAACAGGTTTTTATAATGAATAAAATGAAATGGTGGAGAAAATAGCGTGATAGAAAATAGCAAACGATATGGTAAGCTCTATAAATTCAACAGAAACGACCATTCAGAGGTAATTAAAGATATGGCTGAATAACAAGCAAGAGGTCATGGAAGTGCCTCCGCTTACACAAAAACACCAGCGGGAGCACTGGAGGACCAGCCACCTCTGGCTTATTAGCAGCAGATAAACACGCAGCCTGTGTGGTGCAAAGCCTTAAAGTCGTCCTTTAAGAGGAATCGTTTATGTGCAGGAAAAGGCGTACAAATAGTTTTCTGGCCCGTAAACTACAGAACGTCAGCAATAACTGGCTGTCTAATACATTAGCTTTTTGCTCGCTGCAGCAAAACAATCGGAGCAACTTCAATTTGATGTTTACGAAGTCTCTAGAGTGTCCGCGCATGCTCCTTTGGGTTGGGATTTTGGTGTGACATTCACTATATTTGGACCTATAAACGGCTGCTGATGTCTGGTATGTTCACATGGATCGGACTATTTCTTATTCAATAAAATTATACACTTCTGTGCCACCACAGGCTTCGAGGACTGCTGACAGGGGAGACTGGGCCTGGATCCTCTGGTTGTCTCCACACTCATCTACAGTATTCTGCTGACGGACTGCGAAACAGCAAGTAAATGTCCTGCCACTTTGGGGTGTTCAGCGCCGAGCAGGACGAGTCACGTGTCTGTAGTTTGTACCTCACTCTCCAGAGTGTGGATCTCTCTGGGTAGCTCCACCGCGTGCCTGCTGAAGTAATCCATGGTGATGGCATTGTTCCAGTAGCTCAGGTTGTTCTCCTGACTTGACGATTTCTTCCTTCTCCTCATACAACACACAGTCAGAAGCACAGCTACAGCAGGAAAGCAGAATATGGGTTAGAGTAGCCATACAGCTCATCCTAAAAGACAGAAAATACTTCAATTTCTACTGGTTGTGCGCTGTTTTGCGATTTATAACTGTTGCAAACAGGATTTAACAAATACAAGTATCGGTGGAAAATACATCTTTCAGTCCGCATCAGATCAAAATGCATAGAACTGTTTTCTCTTTGATGACAAATGCACTCTTAGGTAAAAATCTTCTCTTAATAGATTAGGGCATCAGAATGCAATCTGGGAAATATAAGAAGGCAAGTGAACACACAATTGAACATACAATCAAACTATATAAATGGAATATGGTGAAGATATTTCCTTTTGAGATTTTACTTACAACAGGTGGACACAGGCACACTGATAGCCAGCACGATCCACACAATGTCCATCCTGCTCAGGCAGATGGTCATGCGGGATGGTGGGGAGTCGACAGTGGAGCCTGAGCTGTTCCCAGTGATCCAGGGGTCATTGGTTGTGGCCGGAACCTGCCTATTGAGGAAGTTCCCGCCGGCTGTGGAGGGGGGCTCGGAGCCGGGCCCCCCGGCAGGCACTTCCTGGCCTGAGCTGCTGTTGGACCCCGCAGGAACAGTGGCATTACCAAGCTGGTGCTCTACAGGAGGACCGTCTGTGTGGTTACCTCCAACAGTCTGAGCCTCCTCAGTGATGGCTGCTGTGTGGTTGACGGGCATGGCTGTGGGACCGTGGGACCTCGGGCCCGGGTCGGTGGACAGGGCTGTGGCGGGGGCGGTGGGGGTCTCAACCGGGGTAACGGCTCCGTTCTTTGACTCTACCATCAACTGAGCAGTTGGGGTTTCATCTACAGCCTGAGCTTCCCGCAGGGTGATGGTGTGGTGCATGGGTAGCTCTGGGGATTTATTAGCATGCTCCCTGAGTTTCAAGCCCCGTGCTGCCGCGGCCCCCTCTGAGGACGAGGAGAGGGCGGTCAGAGAGGAGCCCGGCGGCTGCCGGCGGCCGCTGGGCTCCTCCACGGTCAGCCTCGGAGGCTTTTTGTGATGTGCATCCAGTACATCCCCTCTGTCTGATTCAGAGTTGGAGGCTGCAGCCAAAGGGTTTGGAGCCCCTTGAGCAGCGTTTTCTACTCTGGAAAATTTAGTGCTGCCGCTGGCCTGGTTAGTGCTAACGGTTGCTGGGTTACGGTGTTGCGGTACCCTGACTACTTTGTGAATGAGGCCTTCATTTACATCACCCAAACTGGGCACCTGGGGTTGAGTTACATGGCTGTCAGGGCTCACAGTGTTTGGGGTGACACTATTTGTGTCATGAATGGAGGAATCCTCACGGGCCATGATGGAAGAGCGGCTGGCGTGTAGCAAAGCAAAAGAAGGGATGGTCACAGTAGGAAGGATGTTGTTTGACTGCTTGGTGTCTTTGGATGACAATTCCCCGCTGCTGGAGCCTTCCTGATGCCAGTCCAGGGGGGTGGGCTTTGAGGATGGGAGGGGGCTGCTGTGGGCAGCTGCCATGGAGACAGAGTCCTGGGACATCTGGCTGAGATACAGCTCCTGTGCTGACGACACCAGTCCTACTGACAGTGCTAGGAATGCTAGAACACCTGAAAAGAGATAAAAGGAAAGATTTACATTAACACATGATAATCTTGAATAATCTACAAACTAATAAAAAAAAGTGTTGAATCAGCAGTTTCAGAATACACAGGATGATAGTTTAATTTAACCCTGGTAAAAAAAAACGCGTTAAAAGATGGTTTCTGTTCTGACATGCTTGGGACAGGTAGAAACAACACAAGAAGGACATCAAAGAAACATGTACAGGTTGACCACAGAAGATTGAAAGACTGAAAAACAGTCTGGCAGCTAAAACGAACCCCTCAGGGGTTCAGACATGAGGCTTTGTCTAGCATTCATTATCCCTCTGAGCTTCAAACTGAACTGCTATATGTCGCTCACCTAGCTGGCTTTATTAACTGCATTATTCACCAGGCTGATTCCATTGTGCAAACTTCTACATTAATAAGGTGGCAGCTGTGGCTGAGAGGATGTTTGTGTCTTTGGAAGCACATTTTCCTTCTTCTTTTGTACTCAACAGTCTCAGAAATCCTTGAAGTTCTTTCAAGTGAAGTACAAAGCAGTTATCTGACTTTATTCTCCAGATATCTTTGAAATAGTACATTCTGTTTTGGAGTTCTTTCATCATCTTGCCTTTATGCTAATAGAGCTTCATATTTTTTTGCCAATTGCTTTGTCAAAATAGTCCACTTAACAGCCTGATATACCTGTCTGATTTACGCTCTCAAGATTATTCCCACAAAGAGGACTTGCTGTATATTGACAAGCAGCAGGTGCTCATGGGTATTGTTGGTTCTAATGTGTTTTCAGAACTACTGTAAAGTCCCAGGAAGCAGGAGTGAAGATGGGCTTATCAATTTTTTCTCTGCTCCCCCTTCTCTATCCCAGATCGATTCTGTAAAACAGCTCATGTGTTTATGAGACATAAAGAGCTCCTGTCAGTTGGTATCTTTGCATCCAGCTGAGAATAAATGAGACATACCAGTCTAATTTGGGATAAAGTGCGCTTTTGTCTCATGAAGATATATAGTGTCATAGACAAATATTCTCTTGCTTTTGATCAACATATGATTTAAGCTGAGCAACATGTAATGTGTAACTCTGAAATGGACTGAGCAGATTTAGAAAATATGTTGAAAGATGGATGAAAGGGTTTGACATCAGGCTGAAGAGTTCATCACTCAAACTCAGGGAAGCAGTACTATTGGGGTATTTACTGTTTTTCTGGGTCTTGTTTTGAGAAATTCTCTGAGGAATACAGTGTTTCTGGATCCTAATTTTTCTTATATTACAGAGTTTTGACGTTATTAATCATACACTGGTGAACAGTGATGACTGATAATCTTTTCCGGAAGCATTTTTGAACTCACGCAGTGATTTTTCTTACAGAACAGAGTCTGTTTTTAATATAAGGCTGCCCCAGAGCCTGTAAATGACTACCCTTTAGTCATAATCTCAATATAGAATATATTACAAAATTATGTGATTAAATCTAAATTATTTGTAAAACTGCCCAAGACTTCCACCCACGTTTACCTTTGGCTACAATCCCACGGTCACGCACAAAAGCAGCCACCCACACACAGTTGGGGATGGATGTCTTGCTCGTGACTAACAGTAACCAAATTCTAAAATACAAATGAAGTGACGAGAGAAAAGGGAAAAGGACCAGAGGAGGCGGATATTCTTCCCCCACAGTCTCTGTACAGAGCTCTCACCTAGACGAGAACCGGTGCTAGCCTTTTTCTACAAGTATTACACATCTCCTCCCACTTCCCACCACCAGAAGAAAAACAAAAGAACAGGAGTCATGGAAAACTCAGTGTCTCAAGACACGGTGTGACCTAGATGTTGAAGCCATCGGTTTGTACCGCTCCATCAGTAACTATGGAAACCCAGATCCCATTTCCAAAAAGAGCAGAGAAGAAGGCTAAAGAGGTGAGAGGATGGATCTGTTTGAAATGTAGAAGAAGGCAGGGACAGAATGTGCAACAAAACCAGGCAAAATGAGGGTCAGTAATGCCTATGTTTAATTTCACAGGACTGCATCAAAGCAGAAAAAACAATTCAAATTCAGCCTTCAAATAATTAACTATAATTAACCATATTAACCAGACTCAGTCATATAAGCTTGCGGGATGGAGGGTCTGGGTCTGTCACCGTTCTGATCTTCACAGCCCACACCACACCAAACAAACACAGCCGTGTTCACTTATGAGTTCTCATTCATTCCCAACACAGTCTTTCAGGCAGGGGAAATACGCTGTGAATTGAAACCTGTCAATACCAAAGTGTTAAGGTTTTCGCTTTGGTGGTAAACACGGTCATATTAGCACAAACAAACAAAGAGGACAGGGTCCTTTGACATTTCACAAGGGCTTCAAATAATGTCAAAGAAGACAACCACAAACTGGAAGTAAGACTGAGACACCAAACACAATTGCCAGGGAGTAAAACTGACTTATTCTAAAACATATGTCAGAAATGATCAGCTCAAACTCTCTGACTCTCCTTCTGATGTGTCCAGGTGGTCAGAAGCCCTTAGCAAATCATCCGGTTTCACTCAGATCTTTAGCCAGCAAGAAGATTAATTTTCGTTTGCAACTTTGCAGTTTAGTCAAATCATGTTTTATTGAAGATCATATCAGGAATGTTAAAGGGGAGAAGCTTATTTTCAAGTTCGCCAGTGCCAACAACCGACTGCTTAAATAAGTAATACGTTCCGAACTGAAAGTAGGGACATAACGCTGAGCCATAAATGCTGTTTCAGACGTGGCATTTTGAGTGTGCATTCAAGTTTAACTTCTGCTTCATATCACCACCTCATTATGAAAGATTATAGCACAATATGCAGGCTTCACTTATCAGTGACACATATGGAAATAGCAGAAGATAAATGACTGCTCATAAGGAGATCAACAGGTTATGATTGAGGTTCCTTGAACTAATGAAAGTAACTGATGAAAAAAGAGAACACAGAATTACTTATTAGTATCTATCCATTTTGTCAAAGCCTGCATTACTGAATTGAATTTAGCTTATAAATTCTTGGGAAAACTTCCTTTATAAGTTTGATAAATGACATGGAAACTATGTGTTTTATCTTGGACGCAAAAGTAAAAAACATCTTCTTCTACAGATCCACGTGGCTGATAAACGACACTGTCTAAACCCTGTACCATGGCTCAGTCTGTATACACAAAAGTTGTCTACGGGAAATAAGAAACTGACTTTATACAGCCCTAAATTTAGTTTAACTGGCTTTGTTGTAATGATCTAGCTAAAGAGGGGAGCCACTGTACGAAAAATCCCTGCATACTCAGTTTAATTTAACATAACACAATGATACACAAACCTGTTCACTGAAATTGGACCAAAATATTTGCATTGATTTATATAAATATGGAGCCTGTTCATAAATGAAACACGATATGGCATTGGCAGGCAGAGTTTGTATTAATCTAGTTTAAATACTTTAATACATGTTTTGTTATTATGTCCTCATATGCATAACCCTAAAGTAAAAATATGTTAAACTTTCATTTAAAATGATATCCAGCACGCTACGCATAGCTAAATTCATCGAATCAAATTATGCATAATGTGCAAACACCACGTTTCACATCAAGGTAAATGGGTATAATTTGTCCATCTGGAGTGAGAGTGGAAGCAGGATGAATAAAGATAGAGAGCCCGATCCAGCCTCCACGCATACATGACAGAAGGAGTGAATTAACAAGCGAGATGATTAAAAAGACCCAGGAAGCAACCTGAGCTTTATGAACATCAATTACTGAGATTAAACTCTGGGAGGAACATGGGAAGATTGGATGGGAGAGGTGAAGTCAGGTGAGGTGGGAAGGGTGGGAAAATGTGCAGAAAATGTGCCAGAGATGCTTGGGCTGTGCAAAAGAGGAAAACTGTTTGGATGTTTTCATCTGACTAGGGCACATACAACAGCGAAAATACACAAAGAAACAAAATGAACATTCAAGAAAAAAACGTACAAAATCTAAGAGGGGCTTTTTGAAACATTTGTCTTGGGGTGAGTAACATGAGCTGGAATCATTATTCTACAGGAACTAAAAAAATAAAAGGTGATTTCAATGGTGACATTGAATTGAAGGTCCTTCTTGATGTCCTTCCACGACATACTTTATGAGGAAGGAAGGCAGCATGTGTCTGTTATCACTCATAACAACCTGTTCCCTTGCTATCCACCCAGCTGATCATCTAAGAATAGCACATGCCACCAACATGGAGAAGAAATCCTCCTACGGAAAAATGACTAAGATTATATCCTCATTTATATAACTAATGGCATCAACCTGTTCTGCATTATACAAGTGCAGGATGCATGGAGGGAGGGGCAATTTACCCACGAAGCCTGCTGACTTTGGCTATTCTGAATGCATGGGAAGCAGGTGACATTCCCCCAAGTCCTCCATTGATGGTATCCTGGACATTAATAAATCATGTTTCTAAGCAGCATCTTGTGCGCTGATCCAAAGCCAGCTTTTTTTCCACCGATCATTCACAATTAGACTCAATGTCAGGGGCCATGGTGGCGGTCAGTCCATCTAAACCTACACTGGTAGAATGGTAAACAACATATTTACTTTGGCTGATGAAATTCTGTATAATCTCTTGGTTCCAGTCATAACCCATGACTCAATTTCCAGTATTGTTCGGTCGCGCTGCTTCATGGATCTCGCGGCCCAATCAATCATGCTTAAGTAGTTGGTGTGTGATATGCAGGCTATCAGTACTGTGCACTAGCCCAGCTGCATAATCAGTCCTCAGGGGGGGACAATTCGCTGAGAAGGCTGGGATATTTATCTTTTTTTTTTCAGGGGTCACCTCATGCAATGAGCGACTCCAGCATGAAGCAGCAATGTGGCCATGAGGCGAGCCCTGGAGCCGGTTGTGCCGCATCATCAACAGCGAACAGCTGGCAGTGGCACTGCTCGACCTGGAGGGTCTAAAAGAAGGCAAAAATAGAAGCTGCAAATTCATCCATCAAT